CACAACAGACAAGAAACAAGAGGTTACTAAATACCAGGATGTAAGGAGGTATGAAAACGGAAATGATTTAACAATTGCTGGAAGGCAATTTACAAGAAAAAAAAAAAAAAACTCAACTGGAAACTTGGCGTTATGTGGGAGGGCATTAAAAAAAACAAAACTTAAATAACGCCGCGTAAATGAATTGGAATAAAAATTTCTTATTTTTCCCCCCCCCTTCTTTTCTTCTCATTAACGACTCTTAATTTGTTTTTATTAATTAATATTTAATTAATTAATTTAAGTACATTAAAATAATTAATTAATGATGACGATGATGATGATGATTTTTTGCTTTTGTTTTTATTAAAACGAAAAAAGTTTTCATATTATGAGATTTCATTCGGGAAACGTTTTATCATTATTATTATTATTATTTTAATTTTTTTTATCTTTGTCGTTTTGTCTTCTGTTTGTTTGTTTTTTTTAATTGTACGACGACGACTTAAAAAAAAAAAAAAAGGTTTTGACTAATTGCCTTTTCGTGACGGTAGAAAACTTTTTTTTTCCCACACAAATGTTCAAATTACGTGCGTATAATTTTTTTTTTTTTTAAATTCAATTTAAATTATTATTATTATTAATATTATTATTAGTACTTCGGTTGTTTTTAATTAATAAAATTACAAAGTATTGATAATTAATAATAATAATTATTATTATTACAAAGTCGAAGGTGTGTAAAATAATTTTAAAAAATAAATCACGCCGGAAAATGTTTTCGATTTTTCGGAAAATTCTTTTGTGGGAGATAACGATGGGAAAAAACGAATTTTCATTTTGAGAAAATTTATCAAAGTGATAAGCGTGTTGGTGATAAGAGCGTCCATTTTAAAGAAATCAAATCGAATCTTAAACGATTGGATTCTCTAAAAAACTCCAATTTAACACTCTCAGACCTCGTTAAAATGTTTTTAAACGAATTAATTGTAATAATAATAATAATGATGAAAATGATGATGATGGTGATGATGGTGGTGATGGTGATGTTGATGATAATGATGATGATTTGGAAAACATTTCAATAATTAATCAATTGCAATTTGTCCAAATAAAAAAAAAAAATAAACGTTGGAATCTTATTGTCGTGGCATTAGAATTATTTAAAATGGAATTTCGTTGGACGGAATACAATGATAATAATAATTACAATTTATATAAAGATTCGATAGGAGTCATAAAATTTTTAAAAAAGGGCCAAAGCGTTGTTTCGAACAAACAATATTGTTTGTACAAACGAAAAAAAAAATTTGAAAGGGAAACTATTCGAAAATATTGGGGGGAAAAAAAACGTTAAAAATTTCTAAAGATTTAATATTGAAAAATAATGTTTAATACATCGAAGGCGTTTGTTTTTGTTGAACAACCAAACAAACAAAAAAAAGCACATTTCACCCTAACAAAATTTTGCGGCATGCAATTAGTTATATAAAGTTTTAATTATTTAAATTACGGGTTGCATACTTTAAAACATCTTTGGAAAAAAGTTTAACCAAAAACCGCAAAAAACAAACAAACAAACAAATAAAAAAAAAAAAAATTAAATGGGAATATAATAAAATTTAAAATAACGCAATAAATAATTTAAAAAACGAAACAAACAAATTCAAAAAAAAAAAAAAATTTTAATTAACAAACGGTCGGACAAACAATTTTTTTCTCTGTTGTTGCAAAATAAAATTTCGGTCGACTTTATTAATTGTAATTCTATCATATATAAAATAATCAACCCTAATAAACGTAACACAAAAAAAATTTAAAAAAGTGAAAGAGAAAGAGAGAGAGAGAGAGAGAGAGGGGGAGTGAAAAAGGGAAAATTAAAACAAACTGGAAAAACAAAAAAGATAAACATAAACAAAACGGAGAGAGAAAAACCAAAAAAAAAAAACATCAAAATCTCCTATTAAAGGATTCAAAACAACAACAACAACAGCCAACAATAATTATTAACAACTTCATTATTATTATTATTATTATTATTA